CCGCCCCTCCCCCCAACGGCCTGCGCTGCTTCGGCTGCCCCCCCGCCGGGCCCTGCCCCCCCGGCACCGTCGTCCGTTGCCACGGCGACCACCGCGGCTGTTTCCACGGCAACGTCACCCTGCGATTGGGTGAGCCGATAACCCACGGGGGGGGGGGGGGGGGGGCGGGGCTTCCCCTCCGGGCCCCGCCCCCTTTAAACCCCGCCCCCCCCTCCCCTCAGGTAACCACACCCTGCGGCGCGAGGTGCGCGGCTGCGTCCCCGACGGCGACTGCGCCCGGGAGCGCCGCGGCGACGCCGACGCCGCCGTCGCCGGCTCCTGTTGCCGTGGCGACCTCTGCAACCGGCAGCTGGGCGAGAAAACGTTCTTCGCCCCCGATCTGCCCCGCCTGGAGCTGCTGCCGCATGGCCACGCCCCCACGGCCGCGCCCGGAAACGCCACCAAGATGGCGGACGGAGGCGGAGATGGGGGCGGTAAAGCCGGGGAGGCGGGCGGCAATATGGCCGCCGGTGATGGCGGCGTGAGGGACGGCGGCGCCGAAACGGCCGCGCCGGAGCGAGGCGGGGCTGTCGGGGGAAGGCGGGCGGCCGGGGGCAAGATGGCCGCCGGGGGCAAGATGGCTGCCGGGAATAAAACGGTCTCGGGAGACAAAATGGCTGCTGGGGACAAGATGGCCGCTGAGGGCAAGATGGCCGCCAGGAATAAAACAACCTCAGGAGACAAGATGGCCGCCGGTGACAAGATGGCCGCTGGTGACAAGATGGCCGCCGGTGACAAGATGGCCGCTGGTGACAAGATGGCCGCCGGTGACAAGATGGCCGCTGGTGACAAGATGGCCGCCGGAGACAAAATGGCCACCGAGGATAAGATGGCCGCCGGGGACAAGATGGCCGCCGGTCACGTGGGCTCCGGGCGGCCAATGGGGCGCAAGGACGGGGTGAAAGGGCCGGTGGGGCGGGGCCAATCCCTGGGCGGGCCCGGGTGGCTCCTCCCTTTCCTGTTGTGGCCCCTCCTCCGCTGAGGGCGGGGCTTGGCCAGGAATAAAAGCTGAGGTGGGAACCGGAGTCGAGTTTTGGGGTGAAAATTCGGGATTTTGGGGATGAAAAGTTCCTCGAGCTGGAGGGAATTCTGGGATTTGTTTGGTTTTAAATTAATTTGAGTTAATTTTAAATTTAATTTTAATTTTAAATTTCGTTTAAATCTTAAATTTTAGATTTCATTTAAATCTTAATTTTCAACTTAATTTAAATGTAGTTTAATTTAATTAAAATTTTTAAATTTAGACTTAAAACTTGAAATTCAATTTCATTTTAATTTTTAATTTATTTTTTTTAATTTAAATTTCGTTAAAATGTTTAAATTTAGATTTAAAACTTAAAATTCAATTTAACTTAATTTTAAATTTAAATTTCCAAATCTAAATTTAATTAAAATGTTTACATTTAGATTCAAAACTTGAAATTTAAATTCAATTTAATTTTAAATTTAAATTTTTAAGTTTAAATCTAAAATTTTTAGAGTTTAATTTAGTTCTAATTTTTAAATTAACTTCGTTAGTTAATGATTTTTAAAAACCTTTTACGTGTTTTCAAAATTCATTTCGGTTTTAATTTTTGTGCCTATTACAATTAATAATGATAATGATAATAATAATGATAATAATGATAATAATGATAACAATAATGATAATAATAATAATGATAATAATGATAATAATAATGATAATTATAATAATTATAATTATAATAATATTGATAATAACAATAATAATGATAATGATAATAATGATAATTATAATAATGATAATTATAATAATAATATTGATAATAACAATAATGATAATGATAATAATGATGATAATAATTATAATAATGATAATAATTATGATGATGATAATAATAATAATGATAATAATGGTAATTATAATCATAGTAATTCATAATAATTCATAATAATTCATATTAATAGTTAGCAAAAGCTCGTTAAGGCTCAGCCAGCCCCTCCCCCAACCCGAAATAACCGGAAAAGGAGTTTTTTTCCCAAAAAAAACCTTTAATAAATACAAGGAGGGGAAGCTCCCAGTGCTCCCAGTGCTCCCAGTAAGGGCTCGGGGCTCCCAGCTCCGTTTTGGGGAGAAAAGCGGGATTTGGAGGGGAAAAAGGGCGGGAAAACCTGAGGGGAAAAAGGGCGGGAAAACGTGAGGGGAAAAAGGCGGGAAAACGTGAGGGGGAAAAAGGCGGGAAAACGGGAGGGGAAAAAGGGCGGGAAAACGTGAGGGGAAAAAGGGCGGGAAAACGTGAGGAGAAAAGGGCGGGAAAACGTGAGGGGAAAAAGGCGGGAAAACGTGAGGAGAAAAGGGCGGGAAAACGTGAGGGGAAAAAGGCGGGAAAAAGCCAGAAAATGCTGGAAAATGCCGGAAAAGGTCAGGAAAAAGCCAGAAAATGCTGGAAAAGGGCTGTAAAAGGCCGGAAAAGACCGGAAGAAGCTGGAAAAGGCCGGAAAAAGCCAGAAAAGGCCGGAAGCGTGAGGGGAAAAGGACAGGAAAAGGCCAGAAAGGCCCGGAAAAGGCCAAAAAAAGGCCAAGAAAAGGCCTGGAAAAGTCCGGAAAAGGCCAGAAAAGGCCGGAAAAAGGCAATAAAAGGTCAGGAAAAGGGCAATAAAAGGCCGGAAAATGCCCTGAAAAGGCCAGAAAATGCTGGGAAAAGGCCAAAAAAGGCCCAGAAAAGTCCGTAAAAGGCCCAGAAAAGGTCAGGAAAAGTAAGGAAAAGGTCAGGAAAAGGCCAGAAAAAGTCAGGAAAAGGCCCGGAAAAGGTCGGAAAAGGGCAATAAAAGGCCAGAAGAGGCCGGAAAAGGCCCGGAGAAGTCCGGAAAAGTCCGGAAAAGGTCAGGAAAAGGGCAATAAAAGGCCAGGAAAAGGCCGGAAAAGTCCGGAAAAGGTCAGGAAAAGGGCAATAAAAGGCCGGAAAAGGCCTGGAAAATGCCAGAAAAGGCCCGGAAAAGTCTGGAAAAGGCCGGAAAAGGGCAATAAAAGGCTAGAAACGGGCAATAAAAGGCCAGAAAAGGCCGGAAAAGGCCCGGAAAAGTCCGGAAAAGTCCAGAAAAGGTCAGGAAAAGGGCAATAAAAGGCCGGAAAAGGCAAGGAAATTGCCAGAAAAGGCCCAGAAAAGTCTGGAAAAGGCCGGAAAAGGGCAATAAAAGGCTAGAAATGGGCAATAAAAGGCCAGAAGAGGCCAGAAAAGGCCCGGAAAAGTCCGGAAAAGTCCGGAAAAGGTCAGGAAAAGGGCAATAAAAGGCTGGAAAAGGCCTGGAAAATGCCAGAAAAGGCCCGGAAAAGTCTGGAAAAGGCCGGAAAAGGGCAATAAAAGGCTAGAAACGGGCAATAAAAGGCCAGAAAAGGCCGGAAAAGGCCCGGAAAAGGTCGGAAAAGGGCAATAAAAGGCCAGAAGAGGCCGGAAAAGGCCCGGAGAAGTCCGGAAAAGTCCGGAAAAGGTCAGGAAAAGGGCAATAAAAGGCCAGGAAAAGGCCGGAAAAGTCCGGAAAAGGTCAGGAAAAGGGCAATAAAAGGCCGGAAAAGGCCTGGAAAATGCCAGAAAAGGCCCGGAAAAGTCTGGAAAAGGCCGGAAAAGGGCAATAAAAGGCTAGAAACGGGCAATAAAAGGCCAGAAAAGGCCGGAAAAGGCCCGGAAAAGTCCGGAAAAGTCCAGAAAAGGTCAGGAAAAGGGCAATAAAAGGCCGGAAAAGGCAAGGAAATTGCCAGAAAAGGCCCAGAAAAGTCTGGAAAAGGCCGGAAAAGGGCAATAAAAGGCTAGAAATGGGCAATAAAAGGCCAGAAGAGGCCAGAAAAGGCCCGGAGAAGTCCGGAAAAGTCCGGAAAAGGTCAGGAAAAGGGCAATAAAAGGCCGGAAAAGGCAAGGAAATTGCCAGAAAAGGCCCAGAAAAGTCTGGAAAAGGCCGGAAAAGGGCAATAAAAGGCTAGAAACGGGCAATAAAAGGCCAGAAAAGGCCGGAAAAGGTCAGGAAAAGGGCAATAAAAGGCTGGAAAAGGCCTGGAAAATGCCAGAAAAGGCCCGGAAAAGTCTGGAAAAGGCCAGAAAAGGGCAATAAAAGGCCTGGAAAAGGCCGGAAAAGGGCAATAAATGGCCGGAAAAGGCCCGGAAAAGTCCGGAAATGCTCCGGCGTCAGAAGGCAGCGGCGCCGCGCGTCAGCGTCAGCACGGCGTCCATCCAGATGCGCAGCGCCTCGGCGCTCGGCGCCACCAGCCAGAACAGGCGCTCGTAGGTCTTGAGGCAGAAGGTGAGGCGCGGGTTGGGGCTCTGGGGGGACTTGGGGGTCAGAAATGGGGGGCAGGGGGTGCCCAGGGGGGGTGGCCCCACCCCCAGGGGGTGTGGGTCGTGATGTGACCCACGGATCCCGGTGTGTGACCCATAGATCCCGGTGTGACCCACGGATCCCGGTGTGACCCACGGATCCCGGTGTGACCCATGGATCCTGGTGTGACCCATGGATCCCGATGTGACCCATGGATCCCGGTGTGACCCATAGATCTCGGTGTGACCCATAGATCCCGGTGTGACCCATAGATCTCAGTGTGACCCATGGATCCCAGTGTGACCCATAGATCCTGATGTGACCCATAGATCCTGATGTGACCCACAGATCCTGGTGTGACCCACAGATCCCAGTGTGACCCATAGATCCCGGTGTGACCCACGGATCCCGGTGTGACCCATAGATCCCAGTGTGACCCATGGATCCCGGTGTGACCCATAGATTCCAGCCTGACCCATATATCCCAATGTGACCCATGGATCCCACCCCACCCCACAGACCCCAAAGACCCCACAGACCCCACCCCACAGACCCCACCCCACCCCACAGACCCCACAGACCCCACCCCGCCCCACAGACCCCACAGACCCCACCTCACCTTCCCGGCC